ATAAAAGGGCTATTGATCTGAACCGAACTCTCAAAATAAGGAATAACAATGGCTACGAAATACCTTAAAAGGTAATCAACATCCTTAGTAATTAAGGAAATGTTAATCAAAGCCACTTTAAAATTTCATCTAACCCCAGTCAGAATGGCTAAGATTAAGAGAACAAATGACACCAAATGCTGGCATGGATGCTGGTAAAGGGAAACCCCCATCCGCTCCTGGTGGGATTGCAAACTGGTGCAACCACTGTGGAAATCAGTATAGAGGACTCTTAACTAAAATTAAATCTATGATATAATCCAGTCATACCACCCCTTGGCATACACCCAGTGGATTCATCCTACTACGGAGATACTTGTACAGCCATGTTTGTTGCTGCTCTTTTCACAATAGCTAAGAAATGGAAGCAACCTAAGTGCCCCTCAACTGGTGAATGGGTAATTAAAATGTGGTACATTTACACAATGGAGTTCTATTTATCGGTAAAGAAAAATGAAAATCATGAAATTTGCAGGTAAGTGAATGGCACTAGAAACTGTTATACTAAGTAAAGTAACACAGACTCAGAAAAATAAGTGACATATGTTCTCTCTCATTTGTGGATCCTAGCTCCAAATCCCTAGATGTGAGTATAAATACCCTGATGTAACTGCAGAACCCAGGGAAATGGAAAGGAACCGTGGGGATAAAGAGAAAGAAGGAGCTCAAGAGAGTGGGATAGTAGGAGACAGTGTTACTAAGGGGGCAAAGGGGGGGGCACTTTAACTGGGGAGGGAGAAGGGAGGATTATACAGGAGGAGTGAGAGGAGAGATAGGAAGTGCTTAGATAGTGTAAAAAAACAGAGGGAAGTGTATTAGTTCAAAGTCCAGCTGAAAAACACACATGCAATAAATAGCCACGTGCATGTGTATAGCTAAACACTATACAACAGAAAACACAATGCCAGACAGGAGAAGACACCCTTCAAGTCGTTGGTCAGGGTAGTCCAAAAGACCCCCAAAATAACACAGGCCACAGCCCTTGATTGCCTCCCAGAACTTGAAGGTAAGACCTTATTTCTCAAGATAGGCCACACTTTGGACACAGGGCTTGGAGCAATGGCGCTGGAACTGATCCGGAAGCCTCCTCCCTGAAGACTAATTGAAATTTTTTTGATAAAGTAAATACTCAGTTCAACTGGGCTGTGCCATGGTCAGAAGATCCATAGATCAACTCACTTTTATTGCATGCTTATTGTGCTACTTGGAAAAAACAAGTCTAAATCAATATGTTCCATTTATTTTACATCTGTTTCTTTTTTTCATTTTATGTGTATTAGTGTATTGCCTAGTGTACCTGTGTTGTGCAATACCCGAGGAGGCCAGAAGAGGGCATCGGGTCCCCTGGAACTGAAGCCAGGGATGGTTGCCAGGCACCATGTGGGTGCTGGGATTCAAACCAGGTCCTCTGCAAAACAGCCAGTGCTCCTAACCGCTGAGCCATCTCTCCAGCTTCTTTAAAAGAATAGGGGCTGGGGCTGGAGAGATGTCTCAGCACTTAGACCACCTGAGTTCGATTCCCAGCACCCATTTTCTAGCTCCATGGGGATTCCATGCCTCTGGCCTCCACAAGCACCCTCATTCATGTGTGCACACAGACATACACAGTACACATAATTAAAAGTAATAAAAATATTTTTTAAAGATAAGGTCTCACCCCCAGCACTCGGGAGGCAGAGGCAGGCGGATCTCTGTGAGTTCAAGGCCAGCCTGGTTTACACAGTGAGTTCCAGGACAGCTGGGGCTACAGGGAGACCCTGTCTCAAAACAAAAAAAAAAAAAAAAAAAAAAAAAAAAGATAAGGTCTCACCACGTAGCCCATCTGGCCTTGAACTCATGATCCTCTGCCGCAGCCTCCAGAGTTCTGGGAGAACAGGTATATCCAACCACTCCTTATTACATCTGCTTCTTAAATTATAGTTTTCAAATTAAGTGAAAATTGGAAAACAAACTTTAGGAGTTAATTTAAAAGATCATTGAACAGGTTACACAGTTACAAAATGGCTGCGCTGCTATTAATGTATTCTTTTTTTGTTACTTCTTTTTTGAGGCAGAGTCTCACTATGGATAGATTTGGGGGGGGGCATGGTAGCTCACACCTTTAATCTCAGCACTCAGGAGGCTATCTCTGTGAGATCAAGGTCAGCCTGGTCTCCAAAACGAGTTCCAGGCCAGCTAGAGCTAGAGGGAGACCCTGTCTCTAAAACACAAACTAAAACAAGTGGAAAGTCAAGGAATCATCTGGAAATTGCCTATAATTGACATGTAGAATAGAAAACAAAAGCTTCCGTGAACGCAGTTTCAGTGGGAGTGCTTCTCATCTTCAGCCTGTCGCTTTTTCTACCTATTTTTGATAGAAACACAGGAACCGTGGGTGCTGTTGCCATGGACTGCAATGGAAACCTGGCTTACGCAACCTCTACAGGAGGAATCGTTAATAAGATGATTGGCCGAGTTGGGGACTCACCTTGCATAGGTAGGACTGAGGGACAGTTCCTGCCCTACCTCTTGCCTTCCCTGATCAGACTCTCCCATTCTCTGTTCTCTTCCCTTCTCTCCTTATGTCTTTTCCTGTCTCCTCTTGACGGCAATGTCTGGGAGTGGCAGTTGGGTTGGAAGGCGCTGTTGGGACCACTGCTTTGAAAGGGTGCTCACGTCTAGTAGGCACTTGGTTTTTCTTTGATTGCATTTTTGGGGACAACTTGGGGGAGGAAATGGAGGTGGGGAATGCTAGAGTTGCTCCCAGATGACTGCACAGGATGCCTGTCTTCTGTTTAGCCCCAGTTTCAAGATCCTTAGGCTCCCTTGGAAAAAACTAAATGCATCATGTCTCTTCCCATGCACTGTTCATTCATATTAATGATATAAAAAAGCTAAGAAGCTGTGCTACAGAGATAGCTCAGTGGGTAAAGTGCTGGTTCTGTAAGTATGAGGACCTGGGTTCAATTCCCCTGCCCCCACATAAAAGCCTGATGCAGCAGTGTGCATATGTAATCACAGCACCAGGGGGAACAGAACCAAGTATATTCCCAGAGCTCTCTGGCCAGCTACTGTCACCAAATTAGCGAGCTCCAGATTCAGTGAGAGACTCTGTCTCCAAAAATAAGGTGGAAAGAGAGAGAAAGACACCTGGAATCTACCTGTGTCCTCCACACGTGCACACACAGGCAAGCACACCACCACACATACACCACACGCACAGGCTAAGTGCTTAAGTTTGCAGGCTCTGGATGTGATTGGTACAAAGTAGCACACTCCTACGGAACTCTTACAGACTAAAATATTCCTTACATTAAAACTGAAGGACACCATCTTACTCCCAGAGCACAGTGGGAGTATGTGTTTCACTCTGTGCAGATTTTCAGAGTTTTCTAGTGTGAATTCCCATAAACCCTTGCAGTTGACTTAAGTTTCAAGAAACAGCTAAATTGTTCCATCTGCCCAAAAGAGCAGTTTCTACTTCTGGTGGAAAACATCACCCTGTTTAATATCCTGCCCTCGGTTTCAGTAACAAGCTACACTCTTGACAATTCTTTGTGCCCTATATTTAGTCATGTCCTGAGAGGAAATACATGTCTTTAAAAACCAGAGGCCGAGATGGCTCAGCAGTTATAAGAGCACTGACTGTTCTTGCAGAGGACCTGGGTTCAGTTCCCAGCACTCACATGGCTGCTAACAGCTGACTGTATAACTCTAGTGCCAGGGAATCTGACACCCTCTTCTGGCCTCTGCTGGCATTGTATACATGAATGCACTTACATGCAGGCAATACATTCATACACATAAAAATTAATTAATTCATTTTTTTAAACTGCCAGGTACATAAATGAAATCTCCAAAGCATAGCTAAATATTTTTTTAAAGATGCAAGAATCCTGGGCTTGGTGGCACACACCTTTAATCCCAGCACTTGGGGGTGAGGCAGGAGGATCTCTTTGAGTTTGAGAGTAGCCTGGTCTACATAGCAAATTCCAGGCCAGCCAGGGATACATAATGAGGCCCCACCTCAAAAGAGGCAGGGGAGCCTGGAGAGATGGCTCAGCTGCTAAGAGCACTTACTGCTCTTACAAACCCTGGTTCACATCCCAGAACCCACATCAGGCAACTCATAATTCCCTGGAAATCCATTTCCAGGGGATTCTACATCCTCTGGCCTCCACGGGTACCTGCACATACATGGGATACACAAACTCACATAAGCGCACATATAAATGGGGGGGGTGAGAGAGACTCTTCCTTTGGCCCCAGTTGGCCTAGAATTCACTATGTAGACCAAGCTGGCCTCAAATGTTGGAATTAAAGGTGTGTGTCACCATGCACAGCCACTCATAAATTTTCTAATTAATCTTAAAAAAAGAAACCAGACACTTGACAATTTCATTAACTCCAGAGACATGAAATGGTCACCTTGGTACTCCTTAGCAAAAATCCTGCCCTGCTCATTAGTGTAGCTTGCATCGGTCTCCAGAGCTACCCAGGGTGAGATCCTAGGAATTAATTTCAGGCTTGTTGAGTTCTCATGAGGAAAACGTCGTGACCTAAATCCCCAGAAGCCCTTGTCTTGGTCGTAAGCACAAATGTATTCTTGACCTTGCTGATGAGTGTTCCTGGGGAGGGCCCTGGTCTCTGTGTGAGTGACACTAGGCACACAGCAACTTTCAGTCACCTCAGCAGTACCACTGTCATCCTGGAAAATAGTGGTTCCCATGCCAAGACCACCCATAGAGTCACCCTGCCCTTTTGTGACCCTAAAAGAACTGAAAACAATGATGACTTGGCTGTTTCTGCATAGTAGGGCCGTATTTACACCATAAGGTCTTTCTAGTTCATCCCACAGCACAAAGTTGAAAGTGGGAAATGCAAGCGCTCATATTCCTACGTAATCTCAGCTCCCCCCAGGACCAGAACCACAGAGTTACCTGCTTTCAGAAACCCTGGAAACTATAACACTCCACAGAACATCCTCACTCTAAGCCTCTTCCCCATATCCATCATCATTCAGTAAGACAGATGTCAATATAATGCTTCCATATCAACCAAAGTAAGGTAAAGGAGAACCCTTCTGGGGCTGCAGGAATCAGGCTGATGGTTCTACATCAACAGGTATAGGGAGGATGGAGAGATGACCATAGAGTCACTTAGTCTAAGACTAAGGGAGAAATCAAAGTAGCTTTAGATCCAGACCTCCAGTTAAATGGATAGCCCAGAGTGAATGGTTCTCCCAGGTCTGATTAAACTGCCTTCAACAGATAGAACTTCCTTCTACATCACCTCGATGTGCATGGAGGTTAGCCTAGGAAGGGTCCAGTTTCCCCAAAATTATTTTAATGTGGTGGCTTTCCTAGTCATCTAAGTGACACATCCAAGGTGTTCTTCATTCATAGGGTGTAGTATGTGGGAGAGGGATAACCTCACTCAGCATGACGGAATGGATATTCTTTGGGGTAACCTAGGTGTTGCCCTGCTGTCCCAGCTCTATGAAAGGCTACACCTGCCTCCCTTGAGTTTCCATCCTCCTGGATTCCCATGTGTTTACAGGTGTTCCCTGTACACTTGACTCAGCAGAATTCATGACTATGGATCTGATCTTGGTCTACACCTCACCACTCTGGGATTATGACATTATATGGCATAAGCCTTATGATTTGTGCTTTAACTTTTTGACTGTTGTTGCTCAGAATCTATCAGGGTTTTTTTTCTTTTTTATTGAATGTTTGCAAATTTCATACAGTATATTATGATCATACTTAGATCACCTCTTATTTCATGTACTTAATACCTGCTACCTGATTTCACGTGCTCTGTTATTTATCTTAAAGCCTATTAAGTCTAATTTGTGTCCCGGATCCACTGGAACTGGATTAACCAATCTGGCATCAAACCCTTAAAGAAAACTGACTCTCCCTCTCCCAGCATGCTATCAGTCAATAGTTTTCCAGGGCTTCTTACCTACTTTCCCATTCCTATGCTGGGATTTTTGTTGTTGTTGTTGTTGTTGTTGTTGTTGTTGTTGTTGTTCCAAATATTTTAAATTTTTATTGAACCTTTGTGTATCTCATACCCAACTTGTTAATCATCTTTATACCCCCTTCCCCATCATTACCCTCCCATACCCCGCCTCCCTACTGGATTTCATGCATTCTGTCATTTATGATAAAGCCTATCAAGTCGAGTTGGTATCCCCCGTCCTTCATTTATCCACTGGGGTCTAGTCAGCCTATCTAGAGTCACTCCCTTAAAGAAGATCAGCTCTTCCTCACTCAGCAGTAATCAGCCACCCAATAGCTCTTCAGCTAAGATTGGGGCCTGCTGCCCATTTCCAGAGTTCTATGCTGGGTTTTTGTCTCCTTGAGTTTGCTTGGCTATTATGCATGCTGATACCATTGCTGTAAATTCATATGCACAAGGTCTCAGGAGCCTGTGAGACTCTGTATCCATGTGGTCATGCACCTTCTCCCATGGCTCTTATAATCTTTCTGTACCCACTTCTACAATGATCCCTGAGCCCTGGGTGGGTAAAGTTTAATATGGAAGTCCTGTCCAAGGACCTCGCTCTACAGACTCATATTCTCTGTGCTTTGGCTATTTGTGACGCTTTGTGTTCATTACCCTCCACTTCATGAGGGATTTCGTTGATGAGAGTTGCTCCACCAGGCTCCGTGAGCCTTAGGTGTAGAGGTTCCATTGTAGCTGTGTCACTTAGGGTCGGGCATTTCACAGACACTTAATCTCTGTGTGTGACCAGTTGTGGAACTTTCTAAAAGTCTCTGTTGTAAAAAGAAGCTTCTTTGAGGTGCAATGACTGGCGTACTTATCTGTAAATACAAGGATCAATATTTAGCACATATTAAGAAATTACATTTTTCTAGGGGATGTGACCACCTTGGGGTTTTCTTTAAGATCTATGACCTCTCCATCCATGGGTATTTGGCTGTGTTTACAGTACCACACGTGAGTTCCCTCTATTGAATGGGCTTTTAAGTCCAATTAGGTAGCTGCTGATTACTCCCAAGATAAAAGTGCCACTACTGCCCCAATATAGTTTGTTGTGCTGATCATTGTTGTGATTATTAGACCTTAAAGCTGGAGTTGGACCATCAATTGATTTTCGCCCTTAGAAGCTTGCATAGTGTTCTCTAAAATTATGAGAGCTAGCCTTCAGGGATGTGGCTTCCAGGTCAGTTCCAGCTCCAAGTCCTATATCCAAAGTATATCCTGTCTTCAGCAATAGGGTCATACCTTTAAGCTCTTGGACGTAATCAAGGACTGTGCCAACAGACTGTGTAATTTGGGGGAGTCTCTTGAACTTCCCTGGCCAATAACTCAAAGGGAGGTATCTCCTATCAGTCACTGTTTCTTATTATATTACCTTCAGCTATACACATGGACTCCGGCAGAGGTAGTGTGTATGTAATGTTTGCATTTGGTTTTGAACTAATACATTTCCCTCTGGTTTTTTGCACCATCTAGGCATTATTTATCTCTCTCCTCTCTCTCTCCCCCTGTATAACACTCCCTCCTCCCTTCCCAGTTAAAGTACCCCCATTTTCCCCATTTCACGCTTGATAATACCTGTCTCCTATGGTCCTCCTCTTGAGCTCCTTTTTCCCCTTTACCCCCATGGTTCCTTGTATAACCTTCCCTCTCCCCCTTCCATTTACATACCCTCATTTTACCCACTTCCCCCTTGGTAACACCTGTCTCCGACTGTTCTCTCTCAGGTTCCTTCTTTCCCTCCTTGGTTCCTTTCCATTTTCCTGGCTCCTACAGTTACATCAGGATATATACTCATAAATATAAAGATTTCGTGTTAGGATCCACAAATGATGGAGAACACAAATCGTGTTTCTGAGTCTAATTCACTTAGCATAACAGTTTCCAGCTCCATCCATTTATCTGCAAATTTCATCATTTTGTATATCTTTACCACTGAGTAGAACTCCATTATGTAAATGTAGCACATTTTCATTATCCACTCACCAGTTGAGGGACACTTAGGTTGCTTCCGTTTCTTAGCTGTTGTGAAAAGAACAGCAGCAACCACGGATGTACAAGTATCTCTGCTGTAGTATGAGTTTTGGGGGTATATGCTAAGGAGTGCTATAACCAGGTCATATGGTAGATTCACATTTAGCTTTCTAAGCGTTCTCCATACTGATTTCCTTGGTAGTTGCATGAGTTTGCAATCCCACTAGCAGTGAATGAGCATTCCCCTTTCCCCACATACTCTCCTATGCTGGGATATTTTTTTCTAGCTTAAGCCTACATGGGTCTTCTGCATCCTGTCACCATTGTTGTGAGTTCATAGGGGTGACTACCCAGTTGTCCGGAAAACTGTTTCCTTGTGGTCATACACCACCTCTGGCTCTTTCAATCTTTCCACTCCCTCTTCCACAATGATCCCTGAGCCTTGGGTGCAGAGGTTGAATATAGGTGTCCTATTCAGGGATAAGCACTCTGCAGTCTCTTATTCTCTGCACATTGGCCAATTGTGGGTCTCTGGGTTAATCACCACCTGCTTCATGAGGAAGCTTCTCTGGTGAGAGTTAAGAGATGCATTAATCTATGAGTATAACAATAAGCCATTAGGAGTTAGTTTAATACCATGTCTGTTTAGCAAAATAATAGTAGTAGGCTCTTCCCTATGGCCTGTGACCTGTCAGATCTTGACTGACAGTCACAGACTCCTAGGCCTGATATCAGTGTCAGATATTGACTCCATCTTATGAAGTGGATCTTAAATCCAATCAGAAAGTGGTTGGTTACTACCATAACATTCCTGCCACTGTTGCATGAGTGGGCACATCTTGCCAGACCAGTTCTTGTAGCTCTCAGAATTCACAGCTGGGCAAGGCTGATGATTACTTTTCTCCTCCAGTAACATGCATAGCACCTACGCCACCTCTCCATCTCCCATATGACTTTTTCTAAAAGCCTCTAGTGTTATCCCTTCCCATAGTCCCTCCTCTGCCCTGCCCTCCGGTTCCCCACCCCCTTTAGCCCTTCCTACTCCATTATCCCCTTTTTCCCCTTTATATCATTGCATCCTATCTTCCCTCCCATGAAGCCTCCCCGCATCATACAATTTCTATGGATTTTTCAAATTGAAACACACATATGTACGGAGTCAAAGCAAGCATCCACTTATAAAAAAGGACATGCGACATCTTTCTGGGTCAGGGTTACCTCACTCAAGATGATTGTTTCCAGTTCTGTCCACTTACTTGCAAATTTCATAATTTCGTATTTCTTAACAGCTGACTGTTACATTGTGTAAATGTACCCAATCACCTTATTTTGAGCAGGAGCCGGAGGTTACGCTGACAATAACATTGGAGCTATTTCAACCACAGGGCATGGGGAAAGTATTCTGAAGGTGAATCTCGCCAGACTCACCCTCTTCCACATAGAACAAGGTACGTAGGATGTGGAGCAAGCTCATAACTGTTGAAGACGAGTTCAGAAGCTGCTTGATCAGTGACGAGTACTGTGTGAAACTTTCTTGTCCCCTACAGATGTTCCCCCAAGGACGTTCACACTATTCTAACTCCTGCCTACAATTCTGGTAGGATCTGGTAGGAGAGCCTTTGGAACATTGCTCTCAGGGGAGGGGAGATGTTCCAGTAGGTGAGAGTATGTTGCCCAAGCATGAGGACCTGAGTTCAAATCCCAAGGACGTGCAAAATGTCAGATAGTTCACGCTCCTGTAACCTCAGCACTGGAAGGATCAGCACTGTGGAGACAGGAGGGTCACTGGGATTTGCTGGACAGTAGACAGACAAACAGCAAGCTCCAGGCTTAGTGAGAGACCCTGTCTCAGGGAATAAGGTAGAGGGTGATAGAGCAGGACACCAGGTGCCCTCTGGCTTCTATGCACATGCATGGGTACACACAATTCACATATACACATACTGTTCTCTTTTGCATCACTGGAGACAAGGTGATAGAGAAGTGTCAACCGTAGGTATAGGAGGGAAGGCAGCTCTGCTTAGCTGATATGAGGCCTCTATCTTGGCAAGAAACCGTAAATCCTCCCTATAAGCATTCAAGGCCATGACTGTCCAAATATTTCACAAGAAGCACCTTAAGGAGTGATTTATATTGACTCCCAGTTTGAAGGACTACGGTCCATCACGGTGGGGAGTTCTGTGGCAGGGGGAGTGTACAGCAGCTGTTTGCTCCCATTTCGGTGGACCAGGAAACAGAGGCAGGATAGGAAGCAGGGCCAGGCTACAAACCTCAAGCCTCCCACTCCTCCTATCCCTCAGTAACCCCCTTCCTCCAATGAGGCCCACCTAAAGATTCCACAACCTCCCAAAACAGCACCACCAGCTGGGATCTAGGTGTTCCAATACAGGAGCCTATGAGGGATGTTTTACGACCAAACCATAACACCAGCAAAAACTATTTACCAGAAACTTGGACACTGCACAGGATATTATTACTTGTATATTTTCTCAACCTGTCCTTGTTTACAGGAAAGACAGCAGAAGAGGCTGCTGAGCTGGCACTGAATTATATGAAGTCAAAGCTGAAAGGCCTAGGTGGCCTCATCTTGATCAGCAAAACAGGAGACTGGGTAGCAAAGTGGACCTCTGTCTCCATGCCCTGGGCAGCCGCAAAGGATGACAAGCTTCAGACTGGCATTGACTTTGGTGATACCAAGATCGTGGACCTGCCCTAAGCCCCTGAAGACTGTATTCTGCTCACCAGCTTGGAAGAGAAGTTCATCTGCTTGGTATGAAGGCGTAGCTTAACCAATTAGATGTAAACGTGGAAAACTTATGCAGTCTGTCCCTCCTTTTGTTGTCTTGATCAATAAGTCAGTGAATGTTTGGTTGAGGGTCGGGTTCTGGAATTATGAGAGTGATGCCTATATTAAGACTGAAATAAGGCCAGTGAAAATGGCAAACCCTAGGAGCCCTTCTTCTCCAGTCTCCATTGTGCAGGGTTAGAAGGAAGCTGCTTGATCTTGACCCCAAGATCAAGGGAGAGGGTACTGTTGGGATTGGGAGACAGCAGTTTGCAGAGCCTCAGCTTGGGAGGGTGTGGAGGGAAGGGCCCAGGAAAGGTGTTTGAGACACAGGCACAGCAGTAGAAAACCTAAGTCCAGGTGAACTTCAGAGTGTTTTGCAGAGTTCTCTGAGTCATAAGAACACCTGGCAAAGCCTGAAACTCCAGGAAGAGAGGTGCTCTTCACTTGTGAGAGGGAAAACAGATTTTCTAAGACAGTTCAAACCTCTGACACGTTCCCAGGTTCTTGAAAGAGGCTCCATAGCTTCGTAACCTGGAGACTAATGGAGTCTGGGGGAGTTCTTAAAGTCCGGGGGTTTTCTTGGTTCATGGGTGAGCTTCCTCACCTAGCATTCTTCCACAAGCCAGTCACACCTGACCCAGACCCACTGGTCTTCACACAGGGCTCCACAGCACTCATGGCCCTCTCCAGCCTCTCCACAGTGGAGAGTGGTCAATCAGTGGAGAGATGGCACCACTGCTTACTGAGGGAGGACACTGCCCAGTGCTTTGGGACCGTCCCACACACACTGAATCATATGACATTCTGTGTGGTGAGCATGATAGAGAAAGCAATTTCTTTGTGGAGAGTGTGCCCGTCCACCTCTCGATGCACTGGAAATGACATTTCTGCTCTGATGTATCTGCTCAGCTTTTTAGTCTGTCAGGACTTACCTTCTCTCTGGGAAGAAATTGCTTAACTTTAAATTCCACATGCCACTAATAAAATGTATTTTGAAAGAATAACAGCATGGTTAGGTGTCACTGTTGACCAAGACCAGAACAAACATAAGCTCTCCCCTTGGTCCCTCAATGCATGTAGGTATAGTAGAGGAAGGGACATTTTGACATTTTAGGGGTTGTGTGTACAAGAGTATATCCTGCTTCATGGAGCTTAGTGGGGAGATTTTCAAAACTGAACTTTCTCTGAATGTGTTAAGGAAGAAACAAAACTATTTGCAAGTATCAGCCAGGCTCAAGATTCATCTGCCCAACACTTCACCAAGATTCACAGTAGCTTCTGACTCAAGACCCTACATGAATCTGTCAACTGTTCTGAACTAAAGAGAAGGAGACAACACCTAGATGACCCTGGGAATGTTAACATTCAAGAATTTTTTGTCTATGAAATAGAGTACTCTGAAATTAAGCGGAAGTAAAGAAAACTCAGTGTTGTATCTTAAGGATCCTACGGACAGAAACTAGAGCCGGTGCCCAGCTTGAGAGGTCTGCATTTATAAACCTTGAGAACCTAGGTGTATAATGCCTACCTTCTTAGCAGGAAGTGTTTTGTTCGGGGGTATACTTGTTTGCTAGGGCTACCACAACTTCAAACTGAGTGACTCAACCATCAAAATTGTATTTTCTCAGTTCTAGAGGCCAGAATTCAAAATCAAGAGGTGGATTCTTGTTTTACTTTGGTTGGTTGGTTGGTTGGTTGGTTGGTTGGTTGGTTGGTTGGTTGGTTTGAGGCAGGGTCTTCCTATGTAACACAAGCCGACCTTGAACTCACAATCCTCTAGCCTCAGCCTCCCAAATACTGGTATTATAGGCATATAGGCATGAAACACCATGCCTGGCCACCTAACATGACCTTCTCTTTGAACTTGCACAGAACTCTTCTTACAAAGACACCAGTCACGTGAATCAGGAGCCCCCTGTCTCACAACAGCATCATTTTAAGTTAATTATGTCTTTAAAGGCCCTGTCCCCAGATGCAGTCACATCCTGTGTTACCATATTTAGCACTTCAGCCTATGCGTTGGAGAAGTAACACAATTCTGCCCCTAATAGGCGACAAAGCAGAATCCATGGTACGGGTTGAAAGAGGAAGTGAGCCTTTGGAGAAGATGACAATCACTAAACACCTAAGAATAAAAGGAAGCCAGGTGAAAGATCTGACTCTGAGCTTATCAGTTCCGCCTCACAAGGGAGGCAGTCCTAGCTGTGGAGGTAACCTGCACTAGAGGATCAGCTGGCTGCTCGACCTCCTGGGCTGGGCAGCTGCAGTACTAAGGTAGAGGATGGTCAACCCCTTTGTGCAAAGCCACAGTATGTATTTTTGTCTTCAGACCTTGGTTTGAGTGAAAGCTACTAGCGCTTGGGAATCCCCTTAGTGGGAGACCACAAATGGTTCTTGCTTTTGCCCCACACATGACTAACAAACGAGCAAGATTCTGCCCACAAGAAAATAATTGTCTGATTGTTTCTACACCACAAGAGGGCAGCAAACTACAACAAATCCTCAACTTTCAGGGGCCCAAAAGGATGTGATTTCTCTCTGGATCAGAACAGCCTGTGGGGAACATTTGGAACTGACAGCATTCCTGATCCCAACCTTCCTTTCCATTCAAATACTACGATTTATTTTAGAGCACAGCCATCCGAATAACAAACGCTAGCACATGTGGCTTTAAGCCCACAGCCCAGACCTGCTACTGATAACCAGGGTCTTAGGGTCAGGCTCCAAGCCCCTTCCCTCAGTTATGCCTTCAAGTCAAGAAGACAGATAGTTGCTGTTTGGTCACTACCCACCAAAACAGTGGGATAATCAGGAGCCAATCAGAGCCTAGGTGACTACACCAAACGGGAGGCGTGGGAGCCAGTCCCTCTGCCAAGCGGCGAAGTCCTGGTTAAGGAAGGGCCTCCACCTCGTAGCCGCTGCTCAGGAAATGGTTTTTGGGTTTTGTTTTTCAAATAATATCCTCTCTGACTTGGACCTCTTTTGGCTCAGAGAGGGAGGTGGGATGGGTGTACTTCAGTCCTCAGTGCGCCCGTCGTCAGAAATGGAAGGTCGGAGGGAAATCTAGGCAGTCACTCCCCAGCATCCCCAGCAGACTTCACAAAAATCTTTGCACAAAATCCTCACTGTATTTGGATTCTGTAACTATTGTGGGAACAGGGAGTGCCCTCAGGAAGCTCATCTAGCTGAGAGAAACACAGGTGTCCTGCTCCCTACAAGCTGGGGCCATGACCCAGAGAGGAATGAGCCCATGGAGGAAGAGAGGCAGCACCAGGTCAGGAATGGGGTTGGGAGGATGTTTGGCCCTGGAACATGGGTAGGGCTGGGGCTGGGGAGGAGCGGTATGGGTGCCATCTGTGGCTCCATCCACAGTATAAACACCACATGTGGACAGTTGAGCCAAAGTCAGTCTGGGTCTTTTCTGAGAAGCCAGAAATATGTAAGGAAAACCCAGGGATCATCTGTACCTTTAAAAAATGATAAAAATTTAAGCCAGAGGGCCTGGAGTTCTCCCAGGGCAATTTTCTCACTCCTGTTAAACCCAGGTCCCCAAATCCTGTGGCTCCTACCCTGATGTCCTGTTCTTATACCAACCATGGCTGCCAGTGTCCTCCAGATCTAGGGACAGCCCAGGAGCAACAGAAGACACTCAGCATCTGCCTCTACACACATACACCCCCACACACACACACACATGCATGCACAACACATACACCACATATACCAAACACAAACACACTCACATGCACACACATACATATACCACACGTTCACACACCAAAGACCACACACACATATATACACCACACATATATAACATACATACACATACGTGCATCACATACATCACATCATACATACATAACATACCACACACACATACATCACATACGCACGCATACATCACATACACACGCATGCATCACATACACACAAATGCATCACACACACATACATCACACGTACATACATCACATACACACAATTTTTTAATTACAGTAACAGAAATTGTAAAATAACCATGCAAAACAGATCAACAACAAAAACAGAGGAACAGATTTCCTGTCTCCTAATAGTTACCACTGTTAGTGCCTTAGTATACATTCTTCTGGATCTCTAAGTATATTTATGCAGAACAGTTTTTTTCCAAAATGAGCCCACCCACACTCTATATATAGCCTTTTCCAGCTAACATTCTCCACATTTCCATGTCAGTAAGCTGTCATCTTACATACTCCTCCTCATACAAATTTCCCCATTTTTCTTTACAGTGGGTTTGTCCACTTTCACCACCTTCTTGCATGTCACAGACCGGGTCCACGAAATGACACTGTCTACTGGTCAGGTTGCCCCTTGTGGTTGAGGGAGGCATCTGGCTAGGACCATAGCCCAGGGGTGCTGGGAGCCAGGCAGACCATTTCCCTGTGCCACAGAAGCTGAGGAGCACTGGGCTGTGGGATGGGCCCAGGCAGGAGGCTTGGAAAGGGTAACCTGGGTTGTGCCAAAGCACAGGGCCACACCCAAAGTTTGGCAGTAGGTGAGTTGGGGTGAGAATAGCAGGTGAGAGCAGTTCACCCCTGCAGCCACCAGGAAAGGACCCACCCACCACCTTTCTCCCCAGGCACTTACCCTCACACAAAGGGTCTGTTTGCTGTCCTTCCCAACTCCTTTCATCTCCAACTTTTTCCAGGGCCTGCACCCCAACACAATAGCCAGGGCCACCCCAGTGCATCCGAGGCAAAGGGCACTTTCAAAAGTGTTTACAAACCAATCCAGCTATATACCATTCGCTCCAAATCCAGGACTATTTACCCTGAGCTAAGGATCCTGTGGTTCCCTGACCTTTGAGAACAGCCTAGTACTATCTGCCCTGTGCAGAAACTTGGGGTAATGGACTCCTGAACTCCCAACCTTATGTTCAGACACCA